AAACTGCCTCTTATTTCCCAGAGCCTAAGAATGGCTCAATCAACCTAACGGCCATGCAATCACATTTTTAATGAGCACGAAGTGTTTGGACATATCAATTCCTACCTCTACCCTTGTCAGGTTTGTAGTCACCACCCAATACGTCTTCGAGATCCTTGTCTGAAAAACCTGGAGGGAAAAAAAACATAACACATTTCAATGGCAAAACACCTTTTTCAGTGATAAGAAAGTTGTGTTCGTTAACGTTGCCCAAAAATCCCAGAGAAGAATGTCCTTGATGAATGTGGCAGGCAAAATTCTAAAATGGCCCCCAAGCTCCCTTCCACAGGTGTACACGCCCTGTCTGGTACCCCGTTATTTGAGTGTGAGCTGGACCATGAATAGGATGGCTGTCGCTTCCACGATTAGGTTTTATTACCTGACAAAGGTGAAGGGATTTTCGCACACATAATGAAAGCACTAAACCAGTTTGGCTTTGCATTAATCAAAAGGGAGGTTGTCCTGGATGGGCTGACTTAATCAGATGAGATCTTTTAAAAAAGGGTTGAGACGTTCCCTGAGCTCAGACTCCAGAAGCAACAGTAGGTCTTCTTCCCCACCCCTCCCCCAGTGTTTCTATACTCTGTCTCCTGCGAGTCTTGGAGAAGCGAACAGACATTAGTTCTACAACTGCAAGATGTACTCTTGTCAACAAGTACATGAGCTTGGAAGAGAATCCAACCGCAGATGACAACCCAACCGCAGATGACACCCCAGACCTGGCTGACGCCGTAACTGCAGCTGTATGAGGCCCTGAACAGAAAACTCAGCTGTTCTTGAACTCCCCACCCCAGGAAACTGTGAGATAATAAACGGTTGTTGTCTTCACTAAGTTTGGGATCATTTGTTATGCAGCAATAGAAAATACAAGGAAACAGTGACTAATTTCATTATAGCTCGACCGCTGAGAACAACACATCTTTTAATACTCTGTGTGATGAAATGAAAATATGCTTAAAGCATTTCTGTTGCACTCGAAGTATAGTTGATCCAAAAAACACTTGTGTGACTGTTCCATTTCTGAGTTATATGAGCTGTTTTGTGTTTGAAATACCACTTTTATGGAAAAGAATGATGGGCAAACTATGGTTGTAGAGGCTTAAATATTCGGCTGATGTTTTCTTGAAAATGAATGAAATGAGGCTGTCACTTAAAACCACTGGCAGTATTTGCTGTCAATGCTAACACTTCAACAAAAATTAGAATTAAAAAAAAAATGTATATCTACCACTGAGCCTAAAAGCTTCCCAGTATTGAGAGACTTTTTCTGAGATGCATGGTGATATTAACAGATGTGAATTTTGGGTGCTGCATAATGAAACGGGTTATTTGGAAGTTTAAGAGTCCTCGGGACACCAATATATTCCAAATGACCAATGCATAATGTATAAAACCGCAAATGGGTAATAGTTCCATTGAAAGTACTTCTGAAGCTGGCAGCCACCTCCTGGCCAGCTTCTACACCAAGTATGATGCCGCTCACTTCCTCATCAACACGGCATCACTGCTCAGTGAACTGCTGTTTAAGTTGCCCCAAAAGGCTGTAATATCCTTCCCTTCTCCATACTGTCTTCTATATCTTGAATGCCTGAGAACTATACGACCTTTCCCAAACTCCCAGGAAGGGAACAGATTGGAAAATGGGGCTCCCCAGCCCCAGCCTTGCTAGGAGCAGGCTTCTTTGGATCAAGAAAGGAAGGTAAAGGACAAATCTGTTCCACAGTAGGAGGCTATGTTTGGGCAGCTTGGCCGGTGATTATTTTTTCCATATCTTAAACCCCCAACACCTTCTCACTGTTTAGCTGTGTATCTGCCATATGATACAGATGAGTGTGTGCTGGCAGCTGGTAGGGGGGGAGAACGTGTGCACACGTACACAAGAGAGTCCTATGGGATTTAACGGAATCAAGCATGGGAACTTCATTGACATGGTTTCACATTCCACACTGCACTTAACCTGCAAGAAACCACCAGCGGTTGCGTTTTTAGTGTCTGATTAAAGAGTGCCCACAATGATCTGAGAAGTCTACTAAAATATCCCTGCCATTTCCGGCCACGTATCTACACGAGGCCAGATCCTCACAGACTTTGACCAGTCCAACATGTCACAGCGTCTGAATGCAGAAGCAGAGGTGGGAGCCCAGCTCTGCCATCAACATGCACATCATAGAAATTTGCACAAATGAACAAATAAAGCTTCTCAGTAAACTGTTTTTGTCTTGCCAAGCATAGTCATTTCTCATAAAAATATGCTATTTACGTTAACATGTATGGGTTTACTGTTGCTCATTTTCTAATAATTTTTTTTCAGTTTTAAGTTCAAAGGTGATCAATATTGATAGATGTGACCCACGCAACCAAAATCCCTTGAGATCCTCAATAATTCTGGGAGTCCTGACACCAAAAAGTTGAGAACTGCTGTTTTAGGTTCTCCTGGGCCATGAGCTGGCCCCCACTCTCCAGGCCAGGAAGGGCTCTGGGGGCCATTGCACTTAATGAACTACAACCCGCCTGGGGGGCCATGGTGCTGGCCAGTGCTTTCTAAGACACCACTTTCCTCCTCCTCCGGCACTCGGTTTCCTGCGGCCATCGTGTTGGTCATTTCGATCATCCAAGGCATCTGCCAAGTCAAAATCATTCCCTTCAAAAAAAAAAAAAAGAGAAAATCAACTGGTTACACTACAGGTAGCTCGCTTGGCCACTGCCCGCCCCAGAGGGAGCTCACGGGCCTTTCCTCACTGCCCTCCTCAGAGCAGCGTGTTACCTGCAGGCTTTGCCGGAGCTCTGGTCGTTCCCGGCCTCTTGGTTGTGGTGGTGGTGTAGTCCCATTTCTCTAAAAGGAGCAGGGAGGAAGCAAAGGAAGTATGTTTAGTAATGAAATACAGCAGCCACTTCGTGGCTCCGGGAAGTCACATCTTGAGGATAGTATCCTTGTCTTGGTCCCCGAGGCCCCCCAAGACCTCTGAAGAATCATTTAGAGAAGGATGACAAAGAGATGTAGAAGGTTTAAATGTGATGAGTTCTGCTTATGTCTCTTCAGTGGATGGGTGATGAGGCAGACGTGGCCCTACATGTGTGTGTGGGGGGTGATTACTGGAGCTGGGGCTTCCGCCCATATCTGCTGGAGATGACCACGCAGTCCAGTGAGTTCCAGAGCTTGAGCGTGACCCTTGAGAGCTCAAGTTTTGGATTCCACCACTATCAACCTGGCAGCATAATCACAGACACGACTGCCCAGGGATGGATGCAGGCTATGTTCCCGGTGGGGTATGAGAGTGTCTTATAAACACCAAGAAAGTATTTTATATCAGTGTGGTAACTACCGTAAATATTAGGTATTTCAGCTCAACCAGATTCCTCTAAAAATATGAACCTCTTTCACATGAATTACATGCATGGCAGACATAAGATTTCTAAAAGTTTCTATTCTTATACTTAAAGACTGTGCTATAACTGTGCCTACAGTTGGAGGTAGAAGGAAAGGAAATTTAAAGTAAGGCAAAGGCAGAGAGACAGTGCTGTATACAGCAAGCATTCAGAAAAGAAACAGCAATGTTTGTGGGGAGAAAAAAACCTCAGTGAGTGTTACAGATCAATAATATAATCCTCCAATCGCCCAGGTAATTTACAATGTAGTACTTGTTTTTTTGTTTGTTTGTTTTTCATAAGGCCTTGGGTTGTCTGTAAATCAGAGAAATATAAGTCTGAAAATTCCGGGAAGAGCATAAAAAACACAGTAAGACATGACCTGACAGTTCTCGCTAGAAATAAAGGGGGGATATTGCATAATGATAAAGATAAATCCACTAAGAATACATAATCCTAAATGTTTACGTACCGAACAAGAGAATCACAAAACATATGAAGCTAAAACTGATAGAGCTGGAAGGAGAAATAAACAAATCCAAAGTTAGAGTTGAGGACTTCGACACTCCACTCTCAGCAGCTGATAAGACTATTAGAAAATGGCAAGGATTTTGAAGAATTGAGCAACATAATCAAATAATAGGGCATAACTAGCATAATGGAACACCCCATTCAATCACAGCTGAATGAGTATTTGTTTAAGCACCCTTGGAACATTCAGTATCAGAGATCACATCCTGACCAGAAAACAAACATATACAAATTTAAAAGTACTGAAATTATAGAGGGGTGTCTCTGACCACAATGGAATCAAACAAAGTGGAGCGGGGAAAGAAAGGGAGGGAGGGAGGGGGAGAGAGGGAAAAGAAAGGATGAGAACACAAGAAAATGCTTCCAAACAAAACAAGGGTCAAAGAGAAAATCTCAAAGGAAATTTAAAAAATACATAGAACTAAATGAAAATAAAACATATCAAAATATGTGGGATATAGCTAAAGCAGTACTGAGTAGGAAGGGTTAAATTAGAGATGAAGAAAGGCCTCAAATCAATAATCCAAGCTCCTAACTCAACATACTAGAAAAAAGCTACATACTAGAAAAATAACCCCAAAGGAGGCGGACAGAAGGAAATAATATAAGAATTCAATGAAATTGAAAATAGGAAATAGAGATCAATGAAACAGCTTGTTTTTTCAAAAAGTCAATAAAATCAATAAACCTCTAGCCATAGTAACAAATATAAAAGGAGAAAAGAGAAAATACCAATATAAGGAATGAAGCTTGGGCTATCACTACCGATCCTGAAACTATTAAAAGGATAATACAGAAATACTATGAACAACTTCATGCTCATGTATTTGACAACACAGAAGAAATGAACCAATCTGTCAAAACCCACAAATTATCACAACTGAATCCTGTGTTCGAGTAACAGAAGACTAATATCGTTAAAATGACAATACTACCCAAAGCAACCTATATATTCAATGAAATCTCTACCAAAGCCCTAATGACATTTTTTTTTTTTGGCAGAGATAGAAAAACACACCCTAAAATTTACATGGAATCGCAAGAGACCCCAAAAGCAAAACAACCCTGAAAAAGAACACAGTTGAGGACTCACATTTCTTGGTTTCAAAACTTATCACAAAGCTGTAATAATCAAAAAACAGTGTGCCACTGCCATACGAACAGACATATAGACCAATGGAACTGAACAGAGAGCCCAGAAATAAACTCTCACATATATGGTCAATAGATTCTCGACAAGGGTACCAAGAAACTGGATATTCAAATAATGAAGTTGGATCCCTAGCCTGTACCATATATAAAAATTAATTCGAAATAAATCACAGACCTAAACACAAGAGATAAAACCATAAAACTCTTAGGAAAAAAACGGGAAAATCTTTACGACACTGAATTTGGTGACAATTTCTTGGATATAACATCAAAAGCACACATAAATTGAAAAATGGGCCTTCATCGAGGTTAAAAACTTTTGTGCAAAGGACACTATCAAGAGAGTGAAAAGACGACGCACAGAATGACAGAATATGTTTGTAAATCACATATGCAATAAGAGATTAAAACCCAGACTATATAAAGTATTATTATAACTCAACGATAAACAATGAGATTTTAAAATAGGCAAAGGACCTGAATAAAAACATCTTCAAAGAAGATAAACAAGGGGGAGGGGGGAGGAAGATGGCGGACTAGGTAAAAGCAGGGTTCACCTCCTCTCAGGTCCGCATTGTAATTACAACCAAATTATAAAATAATCAACGTGGAGAAGCACCTGAAGTCCAGCCGATGCTAACATGTACATCTGATGATATAAGGAGAGTGAGGCTGCAGAGGCTCCCCTGAAGGAGAGGGGGGTCCTTGCCTCATTTGGGGGCTCCCCAGCCCAGGGGAGAGGAAATTCCAAGAACTCTGACTGTAGAAACCAGAGGGGATTCCGGCTGTCTGAGTGAGACAGAAGGGGACTGAAACCCTAGACACCCCTTTGAAGGACCCGCGCTCAGGGTCTCTGACCTGCAGACACTCACCCGGGACACTGGCGGAGGGTCAGAGGCTCGCGGGATCCATACCGAGAAAGTCTGCATTACCTGGCACCAGAACCAGGGCTGAACCGGCAGCCACGATTGTGTCTTAGTCCGGCCCCCTACGGGGCAATCTACAGATTGCACCTGCTTGACTGTGCAGACCCCTCCCACAGAGCCATTAGGAAGCGCTGGCCTGAGGGGATCGGCCCGCCCCACCCAACCTGCAGATGGCCCAGGACTATTGTTGCTGGATGGCTGCCACGCCCTGCGCGCTTCGGGGCCAAACATTCACAGCAGGCGGCCAGCTCTGTGAGCACCATATTTCCAAGATAGGGTCACACAGATCACCACTGCCAACATGAACTTGGGAGGATCTTGGGGATCCGTGGGCCTGTGCCAGACAAGACCGAGGCTGCATTGATCCCACTGCCATTGTCTCTCTGAGACTCTGCCCCACCCACAAATTGCCCCAGGGTGGCCATTGACAGTGAACTGCCACAGCCCTGACCCACCCCGCCTCCTCTGCCGCAATCCACAAAGGCAACAAACTTTGGCTAGCACAGGGCGGGCACTACATGGAAACCAGTTGCAGGCAGACCTCTGCTGCCTACAAGACTTGCATTATCGTGTGTGCGGGGATCGCAGGGGTCTGTGGGACCATCCCAGACAGCAGCTTGTCTCCCTGTGGTATGTGACTACTGTGGGAAAGCACGGACACAGACATTGCAGAAAACTGACGTTACTGGCCTGACGGCCCTGGACACCCTGAGATCCTGCCCCATCGAATACCACAAAGTGCCCACTGCACATTCATAGGCCCCTGTCCTGGAGTAGCGCGTTTAGGCTCAAGGAGGGCAGCAGCTGACCTTGCAACAACTGGAAACTTGTACAGGAGCCACGGAAACAGCACTGGCGTGTGAACTGATACCGCAGTGACGTGGAAATTTACTCACTAGACCCAGGAGACTCCCAGGGTCCCTGCACCACCCAATATGCATATCACCCAGAGGCTCTTCCAGTTTCAGAGACCTACAGGCAAGGGACAGGCAGTGTCAGGCCTGGGGGAGCACTGGTCCCTCTGCTAAACTGCCCTAGGTCAGGGATGGGGGATAACCGACCACTGCTTACAGCCTTGTCTCTTCCACTTACCCATAGATCCAGCATAGGCAACAACCATCATCTGATTGCTTTGTAGTTCTCATCGGGTAGCCCTGAGCAATCAAAAGCAGCTGCTGACCTTGGCCTATGGGGAAACCCCTCCCAAGGGGCCACAAAACCAATGCATTTGGAGGCTGGCACCAGCTCACAACAGAGCAACTCATGACTCGTCCCATTAGCCATACACACAAAGGGTGGTTGCAACAAGGACACACAAGCCTGCTAGGGCACCTCCCACTCAGTGGGGTCAGATCCCACACAGCAACTCTGACCTTGTGGGTGCAGCCAATTCCCACAATTAGTCAGCTTGAGTATTAATCCCATCCACTGATCTACTAACAACAATAAAGTCTTGGTGACAACAGAAGATCACATGCAACACACACAAAGATCACGTTCAGAGCTCCCGGCATAAGGGATCAGGAAGAGTGTGCTACTGGGCCACGTAGGACACCTTCCACATTAGGCCATCTGGCCAAGGCTGAGAGATGAAACAAATATTCCTAGCACAAGGAAATAAACACAGAGAGGCTAATAAAATGAGAAAATGAAGAAACATGCCACAAATGAAACAGAAAACTCCAGAAAATAAGCTAAATGAAATGGAGGCAAGCAACCTACCAGAGACAGAGTTCAAAATAACGGTTATAAGAATTTTCAATGAACTTAGGGGGGATAATGGATGAGCTCAGTGAGAACCTCAACAGAGAGATAGTAAATGAAAAAAAAAAAGAAAGAAAAAAAAAGGACATAGAAACCATAAAAAAGAACCAGACAGAAATGAAGACTACAACAACTGAAATGAAGAATATACTAGAAGGATCCGACAGTAGATTGGCTGAAGTAGAAGATCGAATCGGCGAACTGGAGGACAAGGTAGCAGAATACACTCAGTCAGACAAAAAGACAAAAGAATTTTAAAAAATGAGGATAGTTAAGAGACCTCTGGAACAACATGAAACATAAAAACATCCAGATCATAGGAGTACCTGAAGGAGAAGAGAGAGAGCAAGGGATTGAGAATCTATTTGAAGAAATAATGACAGAAAACTTCCCTAACCTGGCAAAGGAATTAGACATACAAGTTCA